TCTAATTTTCATGCATCTGGGAATACCCATAATTGGCTCATCTGAATACTATAACCCTGCACCAGCACCCGGATAAACATACCAAACAAACCAATAATCCAATACACAACATTTATAACCTTATTCATCACACTATTTATTATGTAAGCAATAAACTACATCTTAAGTCATCTTTAAAGGCAAATATTGACAGAAAAAGGTAAAGACTTATGCCAGGAAGTCGCAATCCTGCGTTGAATTGATTGCCTCCTGTCCTGCCTCTGTTATCACTACGGATAGTACAGGGGCGATCCAAAGAATTCAAAAGAGGGGGGCACCAAATGGAGACAATATGTAGTTAATGTGAGATACGCGAAAGCGCAGCGACCAAGCCTACAACAAAAGCGAATGATGGTGGCAGGGCGGTACAGATTTGTGACCAGGGGGGGGGGTCTAACCGGTAACCCATACTTCACGAGGACCGAGGGGGGGCTGGGGGGGTCCCTCCCCCAAAAAACTTTTAAAATAGACCCCCTCAGATCCGTTTCTCAAGCCGCTAGCAGGGGGTCCGGACCCCTGACCCCCGAACCCCTGGGACTTTGGGCACTTTTTTAGGGCTTAAAAGATGCGGCAGCGGGCATACTGTAGAGATTTAACTCCATATGGCAGCAACATTTATGTTAAATTATCATCGTGACCAACCCTCGGATGTGCGTGGGCAAGACCGTCAAATGTACCAAAATACATTACCGTCTGAAATGTTAAACCATATATTTCGGACATACATGATTACAGAAGCACATTCACATACTCAATATAACATTGCAGCTAAGAAAAATATTGCAAATTTAAAAAAAAAATCTTGGTGATAATCGGAAATCATTCACAACTTGAAAGGAAATTTTATTGTAAAGATTCATTACAAGAATCAAAATAAAAATATACTTTCTTCCCTAAGAAAACATCCGGGTTACATACCATTAACTATAACATTTCGCCAGGACAAATTTCTCCTAACAATTAAAAATCAAAATTCTTGTAAGACCCGGGAATGTTTTCTTTGGGTCAGAAATTCAAGAAACATGAACTGGGACAAATTTGAATATTAGTTACAACATTAAAAGGTCTGATCACAAATTCTGACGAACCCTCATCTTGGTAACCTATTCACAACATTGAAATGAGAAAAAATAATTTTGCAATTTTGTAATTTGTAATTTTTTAATAATGTAAATTTTTTATTATTCTGTTTCAAAAGGGGGGCACGGCCGGATATGCCCCCACTAAACTCCGCGCCGGGTCAGTAATATATATTTCGGCCTCTCAACACTCTCACACACAAAAACGTAAAATGGCCCTAAAAACATCCCAGGGAAGCAATCACACCCACGACAAGGCATAATTCCGGTGTATACATCATAACCTAGACGTACACCGACTGAATCACTGACCATCTTCGCGTCCTACTTCGTGACATCCGTTTCCAGTTAGCAGGCGAAATAGATCCAACATTATTAAAAATCGGCAGAAAAGTCAGAAAAAAACACAACCCATAAGTACCAATATTCGCCGTAACAAATACTTAACTGGTCATCGCCGCTACCGGCGTATCCGCACCTCGGCGACGGAATACTCAAAAGCCGAACCGGCGTACAAGGGGCAATGGACCCACTCATGCCATGTCAATTACTTTATTCAATTTAATCATAGAAATTTATAAATATACAATCGCATGAAATGTGTAAAAAAATATAGGCATGCTACGTACGTCGACCCGTACTTAATTCTCGAGCTACGACGGGAGCCATTCCGTCATACTTAACGAACAAAGAGAATGCGCGGTCGCTGCCAGATTTCGAAAATACGCCTTGAAATAATCACTATTAAACCAGATATCTAAACCTACCTTAACACCTAACCCTAAAGCCTAACCTAACCATAACCCTAGGAACCTAACCTAGACGCCTAACCCTAACCCTAACCGCCAAAAAAGGGCTCGTTTAGATTTGTGCCGTCAATCTGCATTTCCTCCCTATACCTTAAGTTAAGGAGGGAATGTTCCTCCTTCTCTTACACCTCTTGACCTTTGACCCCCAGCTTCGACATCCCAACTCGTTTTCGGATTACCCCCCCCCCCTGTTCCGACTTTCGAATCCGTACGTCGAGCCGTTTAGATTTGTGCCCAACTGTTGACGGACGCATGGACACACGGACGGACGCACGGACAATCATGCGATTCTACAAGCTGCATCTGACTACGTCAGATGAGCTAAAAACCACAGTGCCGCGTTTACTGTTATATCTATTATTATTATTGCCGTAATTAATGGTTTCAGCCACACTGCAAGATCATCTGGTTGGAGAAACAATTATTGCTGACTACTTGCTGTACTGGATGAATAGACACAGGAGATTCGAGTGAGTTTATTTACGTGCGAGTTTAGACTTGCATTATTATCAACATTAACGCGAGTATACATGGCATGCGACGTACTGAGCTTGTGCTTGCAGGTACGTCGAGCACTTTGGTTTGAAGGAGCCCACGGATAACATCACAGAACTGCTCGTGCCGATTGCAATACACAGCAACAAGATACAGAAGATACGAACGTCTGAAGGTATGGCTTCTATGATCCCGTGATTGCAGTATACATTGCAGAATTTGCGTTGCTAAGCACTGCGCACAAGCATGAACCAAAGCAACGCTGGCAAGCGTCTTGCCCGAAAAGATGCTTTGTTCTTACGTCCTAAGTGTATGCTAATAACAATATTGTGTGCCCTAGTCCATCGAAGGGATCACGTGAAAATATATTCACGCAATGTTTTCTAACTTGGCCATTCGTTCATGCAAATCGGCTAATCTATAAAGTTACCAATAACTGTTAGATCTATATAGTAGATGTACAGGTACTACCACCGATTGAAGGGCTGTAAACGAAAATTCTTTTACCTCTCATTTCGATATTTGCAAAGGACGCTACGAATACAAGCCGAACATCTCGCAGGCGGCCAGGGTGGTTATGGCGGCATTCAGAACGGGAAAGCTCGGCAAGTTTATGCTCGACGATGACGCGCTTGACTCCTTATCGGAACCAGCGGTGGCAGACAATGCGGGAGACGCGAGGCACCGTAGCTGACAGGTATACGCGGCCACGGCGCCAGTAGCAGGCTGCAGCTACGTACATGCTTCAGACACGTGACAGGCAACCGTGAAATGTACAACGCGGCGTGATTACGCCTGGACTTGTGGAACGAGCCCGTTTTCACAAACTCGTATATTCTTACAGAGATATTCCTGTAGATAAAATGAGAGTAGTGTAAATAAAGAGGCATTGAAATGCTTGGTATAATGACTGATAATTTCTACTGTCTAATCTGTCTACTAATTGAACTACTGTGTAGTTCCAAGCGGTTTTTCTAACTACAATGAGAAAACAAGATCGACAAACACAAAACTTAACTTTATAATTAAGACACATGTTATACTGTCACTTTCCACTGAGTATCCATAAACACCATTTGCCATAACATACCAACCAATGTTTGCCACGTAAAATGTATAAATTTATTGTCTAACCTTCTGTCTTGATAAAATAATAAAGACTGTGATACATGCATCACTACCATCATTTTAAAAAACGTCTGTGGGCAAAATACAAACATGTGCACATGATAACCTCAATACAGTGTTATTTATACAATAGATAAGTCACTATTGTTCATTTATACTTGGTTACTTCACTTCGACATTTCTACATTATCCAGCTGAATATCGACACAGTAATTCTATGTTTTGATAGGATTTCAACTGGGATTAATTTAAATTGCCATCGTAATTTAAACTAACATGAAAAAGTATTCACATATAAACAGCACGTAATTAATAACTGCTTGTTGTTTACTTGCTTTTATCCACTTGTATTTTTCACATAATACATCAACAGATGTCATTGATATGAATGATTTTAAACATATAGCAGATTGTAGTAGCTGCAATTCTGGGAGATATTTTTCTGCTATTAACAGACAAGCCTATTTCAACACCTTTATGTGATTGTACAGAAATAACCCGCCCTTGCACAATACAATGCAGCCAGAAGTACCAAAATGAGAATATCACTGAAATTCTGTTGGAATCATAGTAAGGACAAACCGTAAAAGTTGTAATATAATGAACAGCATATTACAGAATACGGCAATTATAAACCAGAACCTCCTCGAATGATGTGCCGATTGGTCGAGGGCACCTTAGGGAGTTCTGCCACAAACTAGAACATGGAACTCTCCCATACGGTTTGGCGAGAGATCGCACAAAGAGGACCAAACGTGATGATATTTACAAAGTTACGTCCACGGCGGTTAGATGGGCTTAATCTTGAAGTGAAGGCCGATGAGAGAGAAGACGAGACACTTGAGATCTTGCACCAAGTAGTAGAATGTTCGCAGTCCCTCCGGGTCTCTGAAACAAAAGCACGTTGTTTTACAGTACACCGTGCCATTCCATTCAGAACTATTCTGTGTTCATTAACCCATTCATGAATTTTCTTCCTTTTATGTTTTTACTCACAAACAGCACGATTGAATTCATAACAATATTATCGTGCTGATCCTCTTACTTATATATAAATAAATAAATAGGAAATATGAAATCATATATAATCACACCAATAACACTCATGGAAATGTGACAATATTAAGTGATTAATGAGATTCACGATGAACATTTGAGAATTTTAATCGCAGCAAGTCAGCTCAAAATGAGAAACTCCAGAGACTACTACTAAACGCTTCTCGACTTACTTGCTCTGGTTGACGTCTACTAATGAGCCAATCTTCGACGTTGTAAACGAGATGTGTTCATCGCCTATGACTATCTCCAATTCCTACAAATAATATTAATTGAATTGATTGAATGGAACCTGAAGATGGGAACATAATATAAACATATTAAGCTTATCTGCAAACAAATAACTGATCAACGGTGGAAAAGTGGACTGCAGAATCGATCGTTCACTCCTGTGCATCTCAGCGAATGTAACACGACACTGGCATCCAGACAGTTGAACTACGAAAATCAGCGCAGGGGCCCTCTACGTGCGACGTACCTGTCGACCGACTCTGTCCGGCTGCGGCCACAGGGCGTCGTCTTCCTGCATCACCTCACTATCCTGAATCACTCTCTTTAACTCATCCATCACAGACTTGTGAACGTAGACCTGACATGCAGCAAAGTTTATAGGCTGTAGCAGTGTATATTAGTATAGTATTATCTATTATATTAGTATATCTATCTATCTATCTATCTATCCATCCATCTATCTATCTACACATATTATATAAATATAGCAACCAATGGAATGGTTCGCGACGTGATAGCAGTCAAGAGAGCAATATGCTGACTTATAGTGGATTTTACAAATGTAAAATTCTTGGAAAGTAATTGTGATACATTTGCACAGCATGCATATGATTGAAGCAGTTGAGTATTTAAACTCCATAACAAAATCAATACAAGGTATGTCTAAAAAATACATTTCATTACTCCTTTCTACACTACACAAGGTTGCATAAGCATTATGTACCTCTTTCCTGATCATTGTGTCATTCTTGTAGTTGGAGTTGTTGGCATATCTAAGCTTCCCTGCAAATATTTTAACAAAATTAAATATGTGTATATATAATTCAAGTACATTAAAAAAGCTTATAGCCAGTACCCTTTATTCTTTAAAATGCTCTCGATGGTAGTTATTTATCAACATTAAATGTTTCAATATTAAAACACATTTTTAGATGAAATGGCCCTCAATTTATCATTAGATTCAGAGTAACAGGTAAGCCTGTGTCTTCCCTTGCTTAGGAAATAGTCTATGCTATATAATTTTTTGATACTTGTTAGTGTCCTCTACACTGCATATGGTGATAAGGTAGCTCAGGCAGATAGTGCTATGAGCCAGATTTCCCAACTACTAAGATGAGAAGTTAACAACACACCCACGTTTTACGCACTTGGAAATATTAGATTATACGAGTAAACACCAATTTAATGACAATTTCTAATACCCCGAACAGACTGTAAAATTTGATACGGTATTAAACTGTAGCGTACAGATTGTAAATTTGATCCTATGTTAAATGAGTCATCAGTTCTCAGTTCAGCTTGCCACGTCACCCCGCAGACAGCAATTGGTCAACATAAATAAGGCTATGCACATGCGTATTGCTATTTCGCACCGGGTCTGGCCTGCGTGTAGCGTACAGACGCAGCTTGGTGCGGGATAACTTATCCCGAGCAGGGACCTCCATTTGCGGGGCCAAATTGGTGCGAGTCAGTGCGTATTTGGAGCGTGATAGCGCGCGTACACACTACAAAAATTTGGCGCGCACCTGATACGCACCAGTTTAATACCATATCAAAAAACTTGCAGTCTGTACGAGGTATAATATTGTCAAGTGGCTTACACCGCATCCCGAACAAGTGGAAACCGTCCGTCAAGGCATTATTGTACTTTTGGAAGAGTTTATTACCCAAACTCAGCATGTATGACACCCAATACTCAGGGATAGAAATTAACTTTTTAACACAGGAGTCCAACGGACTCCCTACCCTCAAATAGAAGGAGTCCGCAGCAAAATGAAGGAGTCCACAGTCTGAGGTTTAAAATTTAAGATATTAACAATAAAACATGGGCTTATTGTGAAGATTCATGCGGTTGCACCTCTGCCAAATTTTCTTTGGACATTAACTGAAAAAATATGGTAATTCCGCGAGGCCGTGCTCTGGAACAAACTAGTTAGTAAGGCAAAATTTTCAGGGAGTCACACCGACTCTTGCATATGACACGGACGTTGATCAGGGAGTATTTGTCTCCGGACTCCCGTTAATTTCGCACCAGCTACTGTTTTTAACCTTACTAGAGTCAACTATACAATATTTAGGCATAGTAGTAACCCAACCAGGCTGTGTGACAAACGTCAATATACACAAGGTCCCCTAACTCTAGCAAAGACCATTTCTTGGAGCTAGGCATAGTAGGTGATTTTTTTCTTAATGGCTTTAAATTTTTTTCCATGGTTATAATTTATAAATGCCTACCGGCTACCATACCGGCATACGGCATACAAAGAGAACACTACGGCTCCGACGTCAAAGAGCTTAGATCAAGGAACACAGCCAGTCAGTCACTAGTTGGTACGGTATGTTGTACCCAAACTTGGAATCTGCACAATCTCGAGATTGTGCAGCGATTGTGCTGCCCAAACTGCGGATTCCTTAGTTTGGCTGACCAATCTCAAGATTGGGCAAACTGCGAGTGTGTGGTGTGCGTGGCGCAAACTAGGAAGATATTTATCTCATATTAAATCTTATCCAATTATTTATTATAATCATTTAATATTTATACAAAGGTGCCAAACACATTGAGGAAAGAAGGTATACGACCTTATAGTTATGATATAACATTTGAAATCCTAATAATCATATATGTTTGTGCATGCTCTGTTTACCTCTAGATACAATAATGTAACCCAAACACAGGATAGGGTTACAACGCGAGTGTATCCTTTTGTGTAGAGGAACCCCTGAGTGAATCACTCAGGGCGGTTTGCTGGTGCGTTTTCAGAGACTAGAACTTCCAAACTGAGTTTATTCTCAACACAAACCTTTCTCCGCTATCCTGGAACTTACTATATATCACAATACTCTGTATTAAACTGATATAACGTGTTACAAAAATTCGAAGTGACGAGCGGCGGATATTTCGAGCACCATTTCGGTTGACCTGTGACGTACGCATTCCCAATGCGCATAGCGTTCAGCTAACTTCGTAATTTTAATTTTAATTTTGGTCACACGTTATATTAGTTTAATACAGAGTATTGTGATACATAGTAAGTTCCAGGATAGCGGAGAAATGTTCGTATTGAGAATAAACCCAGTTTGGAAGTTCTAGTCTCTGAAAACGCACCAGCAAAACGCCCTGAATGATTCACTCAGGGGTTCCTCCACACAAAAGGATACACTCGCGTTGTAACCCTATCCTGTGTTTGGGTTACATTATTGTATCTATGTTTACCTCTGTTTGCCCAAACTGCGGATGCACTGAAATTCCAGGTTTGTGCAAGATTCCAAGTTTGGGCACAACACGGTATGGCTTGTGGTTCGGGTAGGAGTCTACATTTAGATTCATGGTTCAAGGATAGAGAACATGGGTCCCAATAAAACCAATGTCATTTACATCAATATAAATATAATTATTAATATTATATCAATATAATAGGTTAGGGTTATGATTAGGATTAGGGTTAGGGTTAAGGTTAGAATTAGAATTAGAGTTAGGGTTAGGCACATTGGTTTTATTGGGACCCATGTTCTCTATCCTTGGGCCAGATTCATTATATTTTGTAGTTAGTGGGTCTGATAGGCCTAGTGATACGGATTAAATATTATGCCGGTTCAGGGGCCACATTGATTGCATTTTGACTAGTTTCTGGAGCATTTACTCGTCTCCGAATTACATATTTGAAGGCGACTTACCATCAGGTCTGAACTCAAATTCAAGAAATTCGTGACCGAACTTTCCCTTGTGCCCAACATAATATCTTAAATAGAAATCAGTCGAAGCCATGGTGAGGATAATTTTCTCAGTAAATTTACTACAATAACGATACGCTTGTTTTCTCGCCGGTCGTATTGAGATTGTCGCTAGATTCATTTTAAAAATTTAAGCAATTTTATTTTTGATTAAATAAACTTTTACGCAAATAAACTAAATAAATGTTAGTAATAACTTTGTCTTTTTGTTAAATTTGTGCTGTAATATATTTAAACTACGGTATTTTGATTATTATTTTGTATTCTATACGGAAATGAAAACGTAGCTAAATGTCGATGGTGCTGCCATCGTTGTCAGCGGACAGCGGCGAACACGCGGGAACAGTCTTAGATGGACACGGCTCTTTGCGGATTTGATTAATAGTCCGAGACGACCGCCTATACCCGTGAAACGACGTACACGGACAAAGTCAGGCTATGTCTGATTCAGGTGACACAGAGTCAGAAATGGCGGCCTTAGTTCGCGCCGGTGACATTCAGAATAATGGAGAGATCGACAATCCTGTCGACTTTCGACGCGTTACTCCGAAAAACAAGGCCACCGTCGTTCTCGGCGCGCAGTGGGGCGACGAAGGTAAAGGAAAGGTCGTCGACATGCTCGCCACGCACGTGGACATCGTCGCGAGATGTCAGGGCGGAAACAACGCCGGACACACGGTCGTCGTCGGCGACAAGATGTACGACTTCCACCTGTTTCCGAGCGGCATCATCCACACGGCCTGCACGTCGGTGATCGGAAACGGCGTCGTCGTCCACCTCCCTGGTCTCTTCGAGGAAGCGAAGAAGAACGAGGCTCTCGGACTGAAACCGGACTGGCGCAAGCGTCTGCTCATCTCCGACCGCGCTCACCTCGTCTTCGACATGCACCAGGCCGTCGACGGACTGCAGGAGCTGCGGCGCGGGATCAAATCTATCGGCACGACGAAGAAGGGAATCGGGCCAACGTACTCGTCCAAGGCTGCACGCAGCGGCATCCGCGTCTGCGACCTCCTCGGCGACTTCCAGCTGTTCGCCGAGAAGTTCCGGAACCTCGTCGACTCGTTCCGCGGCATGTTCCCGTCGCTCGTCGTCGACGTCGACGCGGAACTCGCGCGCTACGCCGGTTTCGCGACCGAGATACGGCCGATGGTCGGCGACACCGTCCTCTTCATGCACAACGCGCTCGCCGACTCGGCGAAGAACATCCTCGTAGAGGGCGCCAACGCACTCATGCTTGACATCGACTTTGGCACGTACCCGTACGTTACGTCGTCGAGCTGCGGCATAGGGGGCGCCTGCACGGGTCTCGGCATCCCACCGCGCAACGTCGGCGACGTCTACGGTGTCGTCAAGGCATACACGACGCGCGTCGGCGACGGGCCCTTCCCGACGGAGCAGGAGAACGAGGTCGGCGGGAAGCTGCGCGACGCGGGGCACGAGTACGGGGTGACGACGGGCCGCCCGCGCCGCTGCGGCTGGCTGGACATCGTCCTGCTGCGCTACACGCACATGGTCAACGGTTACTCCGCGATCGCGCTCACGAAACTCGACATCCTTGATTCGTTCGACGAGGTTAAGATCGGCGTCGGTTACCGCAGCGGCGGCGAGACGCTGCCCAACTTCCCGGCCGACCCCGCCGTGTTGCGAGCGATAGAGGTCGAGTACATCACGCTGCCGGGCTGGAAGAGTCCGATCGGCGCGCTGCGTAAGTTCGAGGAGCTGCCGGAGAATGCAAAGACGTACGTGCGCACGATCGAGGGCCTGATGCGCGCGCCCGTTAAGTGGGTCGGCGTTGGGCAGTCGAGAGAGTGCATGATTCAGGTGTACTGAGTGTCGCACGCGTGGTTTTTCTCTCTTGACGGCGGGTTGTCGACTCGGCTCCCAAAGCATGCACAAATAGCGTTAGCGTTATATCGATTGTGGGTGCACCATTAGTGTTGATAACGTGTACGATTAACGTGGTACTCCGATTATTTGAAGTGTGGCGACAATGTTGCGATGTCTCCCGTTCTTAGCAATCTGGTTAGGATCTAATGAGCATGGTGGTGGTGATAGTGACGTGTGTCCTAGACATTCGAGCCTTCTATGTGTTGGTCTCAAGAATTCAAGAGTTCTTCTAAACATCGAGGGATGTATCACTACTATAAATACTTGGGCCCAAGGATAGAGAACATGGGTCCCAATAAAACCAATGTGCCTAAACCTAACCCTAACCCTAATTCTAACCCTAATCCTAATCCTAACACTAACCATAACCCTAACCTATTATATTGATGTAATATTATATTTATATTGATGTAAATTACATTGGTTTTATTGGGACCCATGTTCTCTATCCTTGAACCAATACTTGTATGGTACAATGTATGTATCCCATAAATTTATAATGTACCTGCATGTAACAACGTGTGAAGTGTTTGCAGTTGCCAAATCGTCTTGTTTCTAGATTTTTAGCTGTGTTGTTATCATGTAATGCAACAAACCTTCGGTTGCATGTTGTGATTAGTTGTTGCGTGGTGAGGATGCTACAATGAAACCGTTAGTAAGAATTTCACGTAATAGTATAATTTTCCTAACAGTAACTGACATCAGGTCGGAGAAGAAAGTTCTTCCGTGCTGCATGGTAAATACTTTTGCACATCAAGGTTTATTTTGTTATCACATAGACAGTAATTTTGCATACTGGGTAGGTAGATTTTGGGTTTAATCGAATATATAAAATAGCGGCTCGATACAGTACGGGCAAAATGGCAAATCTATCTATGCCCTTTACCCACTTTTTCTGCCACACCTATAGTTAGTTATAGCAGGCACGTTTCCTCTGCACTGTGTGCGAATGCTGAATACCGATAGGGCCCCTTAATAACCCCTGCGCAATCGCTCCAAGTGCAGGATCGGTTCCTTCCAGCCATTCTCGGTGGCGACACGACATTATGACGTTACAAGTAAGTGGCCACACGTAGACCTTCTGTGACAGGTCCGGGAATGGCCCTCACAAAGTGATGTCGTCGGCGATGGGTCGTTTACGGGAGATACTAAAGAGAGTAACTTTATGCTGCTTGGAGCTTTTATTCCGAGGCATTTTAGTGCAATTACAGTGCTGCATTATGGGACAGATTCCCTGTCTATAGCCACGTGTTGTTTAGCAGGTGAGAGTGCATAATCGGATGTAATAAAATTGTATATAAAAAGTTGTCTTCTGGCTATAAACGCTTCCAAGTTCCCTTTTTCACAATACCGAACATGTGTACGACTGTAATAATATAGGGCAGGGCCCAACTAAAGCTGTATCGATATACATAACGAACGGCTATGTTATTGTGTTGGGAGTAAATGCTGGAACGCCAGCTGTTTAGAAGTAAGAAAAGCCTCATTACCAATGTACACTCCCACTCGCGAAGAGAAAGCAAAAATGTCTATGCGCGGCCTCTCTACACAAGCAGGTCCAATGTTACTGGAAAAAATCAATGCCAGACGGTGGCATACCGAGTTCAGGGTATGTCAAGTTGTTGATACACGCTCTTCCAAACTGCGTCACATTAGACAGCACTAGTTGTTTATGACACGTTTACAAGACAAAACTAGAAGCATACATGTGAAAAAAAATCTTTTAATTATCGATCGTGTTCAGATAAGTTCCAAGACTTGAATGATATGAAACAGACAAAAATACTATCACTCTGGCACATCTAACTATATTGTGCTTTTACTCATCACAAAAGAGAAAGGGAATCACAACAGCACTTGCTCCACAAGCAAATGTGGAACCAACCACGTACTACTACTGCATATGTGTTCGTGTCAAAGTGCTGGCGTAACATAAGACACTGTACAGCGGTACACCACGCGTTGGAAACCCCACCCCCCCAAGCTATTTCTGAACCAATAATTCTGTATATGTATATAAATACACGCTTGCTTTAACGACATATGTAACATCGTAAACGCTGCACGCTATACGTTGCCACGCGTGAGGAGAGGACGGGATGTGCTATAGGTTTGTGCTAGTGAGTTACTCGCACGCACGCTGTAAAGAATATCAGATTATCCACACTCCCACCATGATACCATTACTAACTGTACGTCGGTTCGTCTTACTGCATAAAATCGACTCCCCTGGACCCCTAGTAAGACATACATTACACCAAGATTACACACCTACAAACTGCCGTTAGAAGAATCTGAACAGGTACGACTGACCTATGGACTGACAGAGTAATGTATGTGGCACGCGGGGGAGGGGCGAGTTATGAAGATAAATCGATACCATTAGGGCCACGCGTGTTTCAACGATCACGATTTGCCTTGGCACCCTTACCGGTACGTGGAAATATATTATACAACCTCAATTGTAAGTCACGTACGTCCCGTTTTGTCTGATTTCGACCCAATGATTTTATTTCGCTGCGATTTTTTAAAGTTCGTTATTCTGAAAAGAATACATATGCATGCAGCGATTTCAACAACGCATCAGTGATTCAGTGGTTCTCCGTATTTGCGAATGAATGAAGTCTAGAATCTAGATAGTACCTGGTAAGAAAACTCTTAAGTTTGTATGAGGATTAATGATTCCAGGAAAATCGAGTTTCGAACATGGATTGCCAATTGGTGTATAAATTCCATAAACTGACCATAAAAGGCTGGTAAATAAATGTAATTCAGTACAGAAAACGGTCATATGCCAACACCTTCCTCTGATATTGTAGCAATTCAACAGCATTCATGTAAGCATAAATCTCATGACACATAATGACGGTGGAGATTACGATAACTCACCACTCTGTGATAGAGGTGCGTCACAGGCTCAAAACGTATATGAAAGATAGATAGATTCTCTAGTTTGTTTTACTGCATAACTGCCACTCAGCGGAAATGTTGAGTGTCCTATACAGACAGGTATGTTCTAGTCTAGAGAGATGTGTGCTAATATATGAAGAATACTAGACTCTGTCAACATGATCACAGTTCATGTAAGCAAGGTGTGCTGATAACACAGCGCCCGCCACACGCACCTATAATCAATATTTTTTTTTAACCAAAACAACAATTCCAACGGAGGTACACCTACTAACTAAATACATACAAATTCTTCACACGAAAACCACATCTTCATAAAATTTACATTCAAACGTGCATAAATTTAATCGTGAGCAAAACGGAAGGCATATCTATTGTAGCTAGTCGTCTAGACAACCTGCTCATGATTCTTATACGGGTATAATAACCACGCATCGAATTCTACACCTGTCATTTCGCCTGTGCTCAACTCAATCCAACAGCTAACACTTTATAGTGAAATGAAAAACAACTGAACATAGCTATTCAGCTAATTCTTCGATAATTACATGCCAACTTGCTGCCGAGGCCAGCAACAGCAATCATGCAGTATTGTGAAATGGAACTAACTTCGATACAGCATAGAAACCTTCATTACGTCACTATTATGACTTGTTCCCTTTGAGTTTCTTCATGATGTCTCTCTGTTCCAGTGCCGCACGCCTCTTTCTCTGCGAAAAAGAGCAGAAGCGCTGAATAAATACTCAAAACATTAACACATTGATTCCACCCCTTGCCTTCCACATCATCGATTGTGAATAATGTTGTTATTCGTGTGTGCATGCACGTGTTTGAATTCTCGTGTAGAATTTTAGTATTTGTGAAGTCAAATCGAAGGTTCAGTTACCGTTTAGTTTCATTCTCAATCTTATCTGCTATTCTCTCTGCATGGTTACACTACTCAGCTAACTAAATATTGAAACAACTAGTATCTAGTAGCATCACGTAGTCACTAGTCTGCGTGCACTCGTTCATACAAAGTCTAATAGCTGGTGCACCTATCTCCTCATGACTGGAGATCTAGAGATGCTGGCACGGCAATAAATACCCCGCCAAGACGCTCCTATCGGTTTTTGTTTCGGCATCCAGCATTTACATTAATTCTGCTTCGCACACTGTATAACACACTTGCCCTTTGAATAACCTGAATTCCTCTGCCCCCCCCCCTTCCCACACGTCTATCGTCGAAAAAATTTCTCCCAATCCACTAGGTGATTCCTTCTCGCTATTTCGCCCGTACACCACACCGCAGACCCCTCACACGCACAAATTCAACTCTCATGTGCTGCACTGCCACGCGGAAGGCACTCGAAATAGTCGGATCATCATTAATAATAGGCTGCGGTGGGAGTTTCACGTTACCCTACGTTAGAGCTGCATGAGGGTGCACACAGCCGGCGCGTTTTGCCGCTCTCATATAACGCGCCGTGGCTGTCGGAAAAACTGACTGATCCGGCGTGGTTTCGTTACAGGATGTTTTCACTGCGCGGCGGAACGCGGCCCACATTAGCTTACGGGAAAGAGTGATCTAAAGAGCGTATTCATCTACGTTGTCCCTGCACCGACCACACCTTGTACTATCCCCCCCCCCCGTGCTCACATAAATTGCTATCACGTGTAGCGGAGGGAGGGCATAGCTATGACATTTAGAGGGCGCGGTGTGGCGGTATCCGCGTAAATGATCTCCCGCGATGCTACCTTAATCTACCGCTGCACTTTCATTTCTATGACTATCGTTGCAATTTCTACGTTTCTGCGAAATCTAAGCCTTTTCGGACAGACACTGAGCAAAATGTGACCAGACGGCTGTTTAAATGAGACCGATGGTAGCTAAAGATAACCCAAGGAGAAAATGGAGGGTCCAGTGAGTACCAACGACTCCTGTAGTAGCACAGACGGTCAAGGGAGATAGCATGCAGCTCACAGAACAGCTACGTGCAACACGAAAAAACACACCAACGATCGCATCGCACACGCACACACATACAAATGGACACTCAAGTGCTGAATGAAAATCAATTTACGGAAACGAAGAGGCAAAGAAATCTCTTTCACGTTAAAACGCGAACATTACGAGCACAAGTTAAGGCACAGCGACTGCGCGGAAATCACACAAGGCCACAATAAAAAAAATATTTGTTTGCCCTCACCCGACCCAGGCTGAAAAGTTTGGGTAGGTAGGTAGGCTTTTTTTTCTTTTTTTGAGGGGGGTCTTTTTACAAATTCAGCATGGTGTCTACGTGCTCGGGTGTGCTTGTGTGGAGATACCTTTTATGTTGAATGTTTGTTTTGCTTGGTACATATAATGTATTGCCTACAGATTTATATTATGTACAGTAATACAATTTGTAAAAAAAAACATAATGGGAAAGATCAATAACATTTTTTGAGTCGGGCCCTTTTCGGCCGGTCGGTCGGGTGAAGGCAAACAAACAATATTTTCTTTATGGCCCAAACTAAAAATAAAGCGAGCCCAACGCGCCGATATCGGCTGCGCGGCCGCTGGAAACTAGAGAAAGAAGAGAGACAAAAAGGACGATCATTACCGAGGGACTAATAGTATTTCTATCCCAGGCTTCTATACTTTCAAACAAGTTTGCCCTTACACTGGGATGCTCAGCATTCCCAACTACGTCAATTATTTCCGATATCTTCCTAGTTTTTCCCGGTGAGTCCCCGCCAGCCTCACCAGACGTGCTGGGCGTGGTTGTGGCGGCGGCCGAGGCTGGCAGGTTTAAGCTCTGCAACGGAACAAAAGCGCAGGTAAGACAGAATACGACGCACACGAACATTCACATTCAGCTTACCGACTCTGTCAGTGCCTGCATGCAGAACAGAACAGAAATCTTGAGTCAACACACACATCACGTTACATTCGCGGATGCGATTTCGAAAACTAACCAACTATTTGTGTTGTATTTCGAAAACTGACCCCATCGAGTCAAGTTCAGGAATGTTTATAAGGTGCGCGTGTGCGCAAGATCCCAACTTTGTGTCAAGCTAAAGTCTTAGTGTCAAAATTACCATAAAAACTGTTGATGTTAATAGTTAATGTTAGAAATTGCACATACAGTGTATGTTAGAATTCGACATACACTAAATGGTATTATGGGCAAACATGCATAAATTATTTTGTAACATAATTAAATTCAGTTCAAATTCGAATATACAATAAGCATATAATAATTATAAATACGTTATTTCTCCATAAATGCACAAATATTAAGAGTTGCTATAGTTTCATAAATTTTCTTATATAACTGGAAGGATACCAATATTGCATGAGTGAAGTTGCAAGTTTCTTTGCAAGTTGCAAGTTTCTTTATCAAATTTATTATTTTATGATAGCAAAAATTAAAAATGCTCCCATAACAAAATATGCACTGTACTGCAGATAAGCTCCAGTAAATTTCCTTTGCCCCTGCATGAGGTATGATTTAAATGTATACTAACTACAACTTACAAGTTAGTTAGTTACTAAAAAGTTATCTAATGCTCTGCAATCATCAAAATTAGGTCTAAATTGGCCCCCTAGAAATAACAGAAAAAGCTAAAAAGTTAAGACTACTTATCACTTTGATGATAAAAAAAGTACAAGGTGGTTGTTTTCCCACAAATAAACCTAAAAATTGTAAGGAATGTAGAGAGAACAAGAGCACCATCTGTTGTCGGAGTTTGTAAAAACAGGAAATTCTTCACTCGCGTATGGTTTCCTCTTTATTTACATGGTAACATAGCACTGATTTTTGCCACTGCTAAAATATCCTACAGAAGAGTTACTCTTGGTTGGAGCATGTTTTCAATGCTAGCTATTCAGAAACAAGTGCCGCAGAGCGACAGCGCTCAACTGATGTGTACTGTAGCCGGGTACTCTTCTGATAAACTCACTGGCAACCGAATCAAGTGCGCCCTCCCGCCACCGCATTCGCGCTCAGAGCATATATCTCAGGGGCGGATCCAGGATTTTTGAAAAGGGGGTGTCCAGGAAGAAATAAAAGACACTTTTTCCTGCTTACTTTTTCTGGTGTTTGGAGGGACACTTTGGAGGGGTTTGGGGAACCTCCCACAAGATTTTTTTTTTAAATTGGTGCATTCTGAGAGCATCTGAGCAGTAATTTTGATTTCTAGAATGCAAAAAATTATCAGATCCGGTCCCCCGGAAGCCTGCGGACCCCTCTTTGCCCATTTCTAGGTTTTTATAACGAATTTACATATATATAAGTAAATCTTTATCAGAAAAACTAGCACTAAACAAGATTTTTTTATGGAAACAATATAAGAGAAGTGTGTGTGTGTGCGCGCGCGCGCGCGCGTGCGTGCGTGTGTGTATGCTTTTTTCCCCTTTTTTGTGGTAAAAAGGGGGGGTCCGGACCCCCTCGACCCCCCCTCTGGATCCGCCCCTGTATCTAAGATACTACTAATACAGATCTAAAATCTATGATAAGCTTTGCTATACCGGTAGTACAGTAATAAATATACACCTGTGTAACTCTAATGACTTCGCTATATTAACATGTTATCATGGATATGCGTCGAGCGCGAGCGTAGTGGTGGTGGGAGGGTGTGGGAGGGTGGTGGGGGAAGGGAAAGGGGAGGTGGAGGTGGAAGGGAAGGGGGGGGCTCTAATAGCAAAAGCAGTTCAGTCCTTTGTTAACACTGTTACAGTCAACATATCCATGTTTAACCCTCCTCTTGAGGGTCAAAAAGTTATCAGACACTTACTCTTCGCACGTCAGAGGAAAGCACATTTCATGGTCCTTTCAATAAAGTGATAAAAATGGTAGGTCCTTGCTGAAACAAAAAAGTTTTGCACTCGGTCCGTTAGACCATGTGCTCAGAAAATGTCTGATATCTGACCTTTCCCCCACTGCCCTTTGACCTGTGACCTCTAATTTTGCGCTGGTGATGGGTTTCCTCCCCATCACACTATACATCGAATATTGAGAGCGTAGGTCAAGCCGTTGAGATTTGTGGCGCAATTCCGTATTTCCTCCTATACCTTAAGTTAAGGGGGAAATATTCCCCCTCCATTGACACACCTTGACCTTTGACCCTTGACCCCCAAATTCGACATCCCGAGTCCTTTTCGCGATCCCCCCCTCCCCCGACGTCTCGAATATCAAGACCAGGGCTCGAATTAACCAAATTGCCGTCGGTCCCCCTATCAATCGCCGTACTGCCCCTGAAAATCCAACCCGACCGACGGCAGTGTCCTGCCTTGCCCTTTTCTGTAATTGCCGTCGGTGCCTCTGGCTAGACTGGTTCGCGGCCACACTGTTTGTCGTAGAGCGTGTACATTGTCTAGCAGAGAGTGAGGCCGGATACCAGCCTACCCTTCGGCAAAAACAATAACTGTAAACGTGGCTTGCTGCCAACCGCTGCCAGTAGACGATCGATAAATCGTGCGCCTGCGTATGCCCGTGGTAGAACACGAATATTTAAATGCTGCACGTGGACTCGGCCCGCACGCGATTTAAAGCGCGGGAAACAACGCTCGCGCAAGAATGGCCAGCTGTGATCTGTATGGTGTGTAACTTGCTAAGTGCAGTAAATTTAGAGAAATTTTAGTAGAATTCATACGATGACACAAAGTTTTCCATAACAATGGTCTAGGTCTGTGTTGTATTATCATAATTATCTGTTCTTGTGTCAACAAGTTATCAGCACTGGCATGTGCTGCCACCTATGGAGGTTGAGGAAAACTAAATAAACATGGCTGGTTTCTGTTAACGCAAGGCTTTTGTCCTACTCATTATTTGTGTCTAATTAACGCCCACAAGATAAACCTCCTGACTCAACAGTCTGGGCTAGTGAAAGTTAGGTCAGGGCTAGTGGTTTTCGTCAGTTACTAGCCCGATGGTCTAGTGAAATAAAAAGTTAACGTTGAACCCTGTTACTGTACTTCCAATAGTAGAGGTTGATGTATTAATTTGTTATGAGTTTTTCTTTATTTTACAAAAGTGCCTTGGTGCCCTTCTCAAATTTTGAGAGTTGCCTTGATGCCTTTTAAAATTGCCTCGGTGCCCATCCATTTTAGAGAAAATTCAAGGCAATTTCTCACATGCCCCAAAAAAATTGCCTCGTCACTTAATTCGAGGCCTGATCAAGACCATACGTCGAGCGGTTAAGATTTGTGCCCAACTGTTGACGGACGCACGGACAGACGCATAGACGGATGGACAGACAATCATGCAATTCTACAAGCTGCATCTGACTTCGTCAGCTGAGCTAAAAATAGCACACTTATGTGATACAGTGTAAAAAAATACACACGTAGCTGACTATTATCATAATCTAGCTAACATTAATGGAAGATCATAATTTTTATGTGTCCCCCACCCATTCTTCTAAGGAAAACATGCCATTTAGATTTGCTTAAAGTTTCGGATCACCCACACAAGACTAAGGTGAATATTTTGAACATTTGCTACTACCACCAAGATCAATAACAAATCTGTGACTGATACAAAGGATTGTATAATATTTAGATTGTTGTAAAATATTACGCTTACATTCCCAGTAACATACGAAACTAACATCCCTGTGTAGCGTGGCAACCATTGATGAGTATACACTGTAAGCAAGGGAGTAAAACCTACCCCTGCACCCAATAACAACAATGGAAACTGCGCACGACAGCATCGAACCCACCGACCGCACCTCCGTTAACGCCGTGTTTTCGCGGCCGCGCCGATCGGACGTTCTCTTGTTTACTTACGGCGAGTCTGCCGGGTACGAGGGCCTCGAGCCGGTGCTTGAGCGTCTGCACCTCGAATTCGCAGTTGGCGTGAGCTAGCTTCAGCTCATAGAGCAGCACCATGTCGCAGCGCACGTCGTTGAAATGCGTCGCCACCTCCTCCGTCGGCATCGGACTCTGCTCTGCAGCGACAAATCGCACGGGGCGTTAGTAATATAAACACCAATCACTGTCGGTGTCATACATTTAGTGAGTGATCGATGTTAGGAATATAGCTGAAAATCATGGCGGGTATTAGAAATATAGGCACCATTCACAGCCATTGTTACAAATATAGCAACCAATCATAAAGGGTACGGGGAATACTTTTAAGGCACCTGCAAACTATCTTAAAATTAACGCATTTCATACTTAGTTGAAAAGTAATCTTAACTGGTAATATTAACTGGCAGAAAATATTTTTACCGATGCCCAGTTCTTCCAGGAGTTGCTCAATTGCTTTACTTTTTTTCTGCCCGAGGGAGGTTGGTAGCTTCATCTGAAACGAAAAACATAGATGCAATACATGGTTGTAATTATGTGAACAAATCATAATACAATGTGATAATCATTATGTATTGTGCCTCTTAAGCTGCGTTCACATGAGGATTTCAGTACCGTACTGAGCGTTCACACGATAAAAATATTCAAGACTTATACGCGGCCTCCCAAGTACCATACTGAAATACGAGGCTTATTCGGCGCGGAAAGTGATTCCGCGCTGAAACAACTGAACAAACCGTGCTGGCCGCGTATTGTCTGTCGTGTGAACGCAATTCGAGGCCTCGTAAGCCGTGAAACTGTAGTACGCTGTAACATTGATACTAGGCAGTGGAGTGTCGTTTTTCGCTTAAGGCTCATGCCATTGAAAATAATTCTCCGAATTTCTTTTTGATAATCGTCTTCATCACCAAAGCATTCGTAATGTTCATCTGGATCATCATTTTGTGTAATTTTACTGAAAAACTGCCACAAATAACTGACTTTCATGGGCGCCGCCATCATGAAAAACACTTCCCTCTAACCGAGAAATTATTTATTATACCTAGCCAGCTAAGCCTCGATTCCCGTGTGAACGCTGCGGGTTGTGTTAGCACTGTATTTCAGCCGAATTCAGCACCAGATAAGTACGGAACCAGCGAGGCCGTAAATCTCGTGTGAACGTAGCTTTATAGTCAGACAATTTTTTAGAGAGAGAGAAAGACAGAGAAGACAGACGAGAAAATACAAATGAGAAGTGAGAGCTAAAGAAAGAAAGAGAGAGGGAAGTGAGGAAAAACCTGTACATATGGAAAGCCGCAGGAATGCAATAAACTCACCCTGTGGCTACGAAGGGTCACTCCTGACGTTTTGAACTCTGGAAACTTAATTCCAGTTGTATCTGGAGTGGTCTGAAAAGCAGAATAAATACAGATAACTGACATGAACATCAAAACAATCTGAGACAAAAGTAATGACAAACAATGAGACTATACAAAGGGTTTCTTCTGAAGGAAAATTAGACAAAGGAGGTAATGGCCAGTTTGGGAAAAAAACGGGCATGATGGATTCAAAGGCATGCCGCAGGCACGCACGCAGAGGTTGCAGGCGGACAAATATTCCAGAATAACTCTAAACATCAACTCAGGTGCACTCTAAATATGCCAGAAGCACGTGGTGATCTATTTATTTTTGGGTTGACACTATTTTGACAACGGCGGGTAAATACATGAACATTTTCACAACGGCGATGTTAAATTTGACAACGGCGGTGCGTCACTGTGCCTCTTATGTATAAGAAATCCTGTATACCATATTATTCAAGTGCCTATTCAAGTGCAACTTTTTCATTTAGGGTATATATATTCTATTTTTATTATGTGGCTTTCAATAAACTTCATCTCGGCTGCTTGGCAGACACTGATGTAGAAAACTTTCATAATTGTTCCACAGGAGCCCACAAACCCTTCCTAAACCGTGCAGCACGCCCTCCCCCAAAGGAGCCAGCACTCACCGAGGCCTCGCCGGATGTGACCGTGGCGCCACCTTTCGACAGCTTGTGCGCGACCATGTGTTTCTTCGGCTGCTTTTTCTGCAGGCGGCGGTCGGAGTTGTCTGCGGCGCTGATCAGCTTCTGCAGGTCCTGCGCCTTCTTCTCGCGCTCGCGCTTACGCTGCTCTATCTTACGCAGCTCCTGCATCAACGTCTCCTCCTCCTCGACCTGTCGACAACGAGAGGCGAACGCGTGAATGAGAGCAGAAAGGAGGACGTGTGAACGAGAGGAGAGGAGAGAGAGAGCGCGTGAATGAGAGGAGAGAGGAGGACGTGTGAACGAGAGGAGAGGAGAGAGAGAGCGCGTGAATGAGAGGAGAGAGGAGGACGTGTGAACGAGAGGAGAGGAGAGAGAGAGCGCGTGAATGAGAGGAGAGAGGAGGACGTGTGAACGAGAGGAGAGGGAGCAGATACGAGAGGAGAGAGGAGGAGAGGGAGAGAGGAAGAGGAGAGAGGAGAGAAGGAGAAGAGGAGAGAAGGAGTAAGACGGAGAGCTAGGAGAGAAGGAGAAGAAAACACGTGAAGGAGAGAAGAGAGGCAGAGGCGAATAATGGTAACGAGGAGAGAGGAGAGAGGAGAAAGCAGCAGTGAACCCGAGAGCAAGAAGCAGGACGGAGGAGAACCAACCGTGAAACAGCGGAGTGATGAGAGGAAGAGGA